CCTTAAAAAATCTTATTAATATAAATTTGTAATTATTTTTGCCTATAAATATCTCTCTCTCTCTTTCTCACTTGATATCGTATCCTTTTTGCTTTCTATTCTATTTATATTTTTATGCCTATATTCTATGCTATTCCAAATTGAAAACTTTTAACCGTAAACCCAAACAAAGCAAAAGAGCAAAAATCTGCTTGATTTCTTCTGTAAAAAGAACCAACAACTCTACTTACTGACCCCAAAAACTCAACTCCCAACTCTAATGTCCCCCATGCCCGAGGACCTAGACTCCATTCATTCTGTACATTTTGTTTTTGCACGCGCACAAAACCTAATAGCAATGCCTACTATGCTTACAGCTTCCGAGGAGAACGTGCTGTCCTATGAGGCCGTGCAGCGTTTGTCCATTAACTATACGCGTCCCGTTATAATACTGGGACCGCTTAAGGATCGTATCAACGACGATTTGATATCCGAATACCCGGACAAATTCGGGTCATGTGTGCCACGTAAGTGATAAAGAATTTGAAGAATTTGAATTGTTGATTTCATAAACTCTTTTTGCACACCAACAGATACCACACGGCCAAAACGCGAATATGAGGTCGATGGCCGGGACTATCATTTTGTGTCGTCGCGCGAGCAAATGGAGCGCGATATACAGAACCATCTGTTTATCGAGGCTGGCCAATACAATGACAATCTGTACGGCACTTCGGTGGCCAGCGTGCGCGAGGTGGCCGAGCGGGGCAAACATTGCATATTGGATGTGTCGGGCAATGCAATCAAGCGCCTGCAAGTGGCGCAACTCTATCCGGTTGCTGTGTTCATAAAGCCCAAGTCTGTCGACTCAGTGATGTGAGTATCTCCAAACGAGATAACTTTGTATGTGTGTGCGTGTATAATTCAAATACTTATGCTTATTGCAGGGAAATGAATCGTCGCATGACCGAGGAGCAGGCAAAGAAAACATATGAGCGCGCCATCAAGATGGAGCAAGAATTCGGCGAATACTTTACGGGTAAATTGAGAATTGAATTGAATTGAGCAATCAAAATGGATATTAATATATACCATTGCAGGCGTTGTACAAGGCGATACGATCGAGGAAATCTATAGCAAAGTGAAATCAATGATTTGGTCGCAATCGGGACCAACCATTTGGGTACCATCGAAGGAATCTCTATGACCAACAGCCACAACGACATGGACACTGCCGCCTCGAGTACGTTGTCGACCTGTTTCGAGAACACCAACAACAACAACAACATCAGCAGCAGCAGCAGCAACAAATCAGCCGCAACAAAAAACGTCACATTGATGCACCAACGCAACGACTACGATGACGAAGACGAAGAGGACGATGACGATGACGATGACAACACCAACAGCAGCAACAACAGCAGCAGCAGCAGGAGCAGGAGGAGCAACAACAGCAATACACATCAGTCAGCCCGATGTTGTTCATGTTTAGAATTGTTATTGTTTCTAGATAAACGAATAACAAGAAATCTGATTTGCTGGCGCCAGTTAAATGAGAGCCAAAACAATACGATATCAGGCAACAAACAGGCAATGTTTTAAGCCAAGTTGGTTTGTTCTTGATTTCTGGCTCAAAGCTCTGAAAATGAAAAGGAAAGCAAAATGATGAAGCGGCAACTGTTTAGTTTAAGTTAGAACAAAATTGATAAAAGAAGAAGAAGATGAAGATGAAGATAAAACACAAACCGAAGCATATTAATCATAAGATCTACTTAATATGGAGCAGTAGTAGAAGATGATGACGATGATGATAAGGAGGAGGAGGGACAGAAMGTTCGTTAAGCGCTAGAGTTGTTTGTTTATGTTGATGTTTATACGAGAGTTATAGCGAGTTAGTTATATTGACGCTAATATAATATATGGTATATTATTATATACACACGCATACATTTGCTATGCGTACACGTATGCGACTGTATGTGTATATACATATATGTATAATAGGTATATGAATCATTAAGTGCGACAAGCGTCAAATATACTACAAAACGTTGAATGATAGCAATTGAAATTGAATGAGTTCAGGCGAATACGACTATATATACATATATATATATATAGGTATATATGGGTAAATAGACGTTGACGACGACGACGACGATAAGTTGGTGCATTTCTTGTTAGATGTATTGTATTTTTTTCCCCCACGCGCCTTTGCCTAATGCAACACAAATCACATAATAAGCTGCATATATACATAATAGTTTTTGCACTCACACATACACTCAATTACACACACACACACACACACATTTACACATAAACATGTATGTACACAAATACCATGTAGCCTAACTAAAGAAAAGCGTCAGCAACGAGCTATATATATTTATATATGTAAATGGGTATATAGAGCGGRAGAGAGGGCAATATCACTTCTTTCAATGCAAAAAGTCATTTAACTATTTAACATACATACACTATATGCTAGACAGTATTAACAAATTGTGAATGCGTCTAGCATACGCATAATACGATCAATATAACATATACACCCATATATATAATATGTATATATATATGTGGTATAATTTTACAATTGAATATGCAACAATACCTAAATACCTGGCTGGTATTTAACACATATATATATATACATAACATTTTTTTTTTTTGTATTGACAGCAACAGATTAGCTAATGTTCTACAAAGAGAGAAAGAAACAAACAAATTTATAAAATAATATTTTGATATTACAAGTGAAAATATTAATTGTATTTCGAAGAATTTACATTAAATACAACTGACTTATTTTTCT